CGGCAGCGACGCGTGGCAGTTGGAGAATGACCGGACTCAGGTGCTGCGTCCTGTCGGGCACCTAATACTGGGGTACCCCATGAGGTGGAGCTAATAACCATCAAATGCTGATGCTTCTGAACAGACAAAAACGCAGCTACGCTTCTTGCCTGAACGACTGAAGATTGGCTCCGCCTTGCCCGACGTCCCAGGCTAGCTCTGCCTTGCCCAACGTCTAAGGGCAGGCTCTGCCTCGCCCGATGCTCCAAGCTGGCTCTGCCTCGCCTGACGTTTGAGGGCGGGCTCCGCCTCACCCAACGTCTGAGGGTAGGGCTCCGCCTTGCCCGACGTTCCGGGCCGACTCTACCTCACCCGACGTCTGAGGGTAGGCTCTGCCTTGCCCGACGTCTGGGGGCAGGCTCCACCTCGCTCGATGTTTGAGGACAGGGCTCCGCCTCGCCCGACCCCCGAGGGTTGGGCTTCGCCTCGCCCAACGTCTGCGCCCTGCTCCTTCATAATGATGAGCATAGGGTAAGACAGGACACTCGAGTCAACCGTAGTATCGAGGACCATATCCTGCACGCCTGTGGGCGAGTACCGTCAGGATATGACGGGACGGGTGCTTTAAGCCCTTCTAGGCATGACAGAGCCCGAACAGTGTTGTAGGCGCCGACTTTTGCCTTACAGTGTTATGGGCGCCGCCATCAGCCCTCGAACGTGGACCCTGACATAAGCATACGACAACCACTACAATCTAGGAGGGAACTCACATCATCTACAGTAATGGACGTATGGTCACTTTCCCGTCTGCTCCCCATTGGGTCACGGCTCGGCACCCTGGCACGCCGCACCGTCCACCGAAGTAGGATGGGACGTGATCACTTGCTGAACGAAGCCAGAGCATGGCCCAACACACATCACACACACAACCAAGCAGCAACCGAGATCTTGGCATCCTTTCGATCTTTCCATCAGAGACTTAGGACCTGTCCCTCTCTCGACCGTTTGTACCCCCTACTATGAATCTTTTTTAGTGCTAATAACATGAGCAGCAGCAAACTGGACGTAGGGACATTCTGTCTGAACCAGTATAAACCTTGTGTCCTTTAGTACACCATTCGGGCCTAACGCGCAACAAATATAAATTTACTAGTTGGTGTTTGTTCGAAACACCGACACCTCCGGTTGTACAGGAGCGGACACGTCCGGTCGCAAAACAGAGGTTCGAGGAGCTCTCTGGAAATGACCGGACTCTGGCTAGTCTGCGTCCGGTCACTTATAATCAGAAGCGTCCGGTCGCGACTGGAACCTTACTGGAAGTGACCGAACGCTGGGGTCCTGTGACCGGTCCTACACTATAGATCGTTCGATCGCAACTTAAGTCTACTGATGACCGTTGAGATCGAGTGATCAGCATTTGAAGCAGGGGACACGTGGTGAAAATCTGAGGACCAGACACTGGGGTCCTGCGTCCCGTCAATTCGACCGGCGCGTCCGGTCGCCCCGATTTCTCAGTGAACAGAGAGCCAACGACTCTATTCATAGGGGCTCTCTATTTAAGCCCCATTGCCGGCTCTAGCTCACTCTCTTGGCCATTTGCATTGATATAGCAACCTTGTGAGCTTAGCCAGATCCCTTCCACTCATCTCCATCATTGATTCATCATCTTTGTGAGATTGTGAGTGAATCCAAGTGTATTGCTTGAGTGTTTGCATCTAGAGGCACTTGGTGTTCGTGTTTCGCTGCGGGATTCGCTTGTTACTCTTGGTGGTTGCCACCACCTAGACGGCTTGGAGCAGCGAGGATCGTCAAGCGGAGGTTGGTGATTGTCTCCGGCTCCGATCGTGGTGATTGTGAGGGATTCTTGACCTTTCTCCGGTGGAGAGCCAAAAGGTAATTTAGTAGATTGCTCGTAGCTTGTGTGATCCTCATCTTGTGTTGGTTGTGCGGCACCCTATTGAGGGTTTGGCGTGTGATGCCAATTAGCGCGTGAACCTCTAAGTGAGTGAATCACCACAACGAGGACTAGCTTGTTGGCAAGCAAGTGAATCTCGGTAAAAGATTATTGTGTCATTATTTTATTCCGAGGTGATTGGTCTTTGTTGGTATTCATTATTGTGATTGATTGGTTTATTCCTCGACTCGTCGGTATAACCATCTTGCTCACTCTCTTTATTTTACCGCAAACTAGTTGTCAAGTTCTTTAGTGTAGCTAGTCATGAGAGCTTGTTAGTTTGGTTAGTGTGGCTCTTTAGTTAGCCTTTGAGAGCACACTAATTTAGTGTAGTGACATAGCCATTGTGTGGATAGAAACTATATAAACTAGAATTATGGTAGGTAGCTTGCAATTTTAGTAGACTAGCGCAAATTTTGCTTCACCTCATAATTATCTAACCGGTTTGCTAAGTGTTATTGTAGAAATTTTTAATAGGCTATTCACCCCCCTCTAGTCATTAGGACCTTTCAGCTGCACGCCAGAAGGAGCCACGGCGTCCCCAACCTCGAGTGGAGTCCACGCTGCATCTAGGAAGTGCCCGACGACCACAACCACGACGTCGAGCCATCTTGTGGACGCAGCCTAGCGAGTGTCGCCGTTCTACGCCGGCGCTAGAGCCGTCGTCTGAGCCCACGCCACCACGACATCCTCCTCGCCTTCCCCGGCACCACGCACGCTGAGTCGATCCGTGGGCGCGCGACAGCCGCAACTCCGAGTTGGTCGGGGTGGTGGTGGCGCTTTGCACGCCATGGCTATGATGAGCGAGGTGGATGGGTCGTGGCGGTGGACGCCCCGCGTGGCGCGGGATGGGGCGCGGTGGCTAGGTAAAGTAGGTAGGCGGACGACGCATCACAATTGTTGTGGCGCGGATGGTGCAGTAGCCACCGCCGCTGCGGGCGAACGACACGGTGAAAGCGATAGCGTCGCGAGTGGGAAAAATATTAAGGAGTGGAAGAACGATGTGTTGCCTATTGAGCCCAATCGATGCTAAGGCCTAGGAACGGGGGTGTCCGGACGGACACGCCCAGACAGATGTTCTTGTCGAAGCATTATCGTTTTTAAATACAAGACTAGAGAGAGGGGATGCTAAGCCTCTCCGACTTGCTGGCTTCTATGACGAATCTACCGTTATCTCACCCAATTACTGTCAAATCGTTAGAATCATCTGCACCTACAAGTGTTTTAATGGAAAAAAAGTTAGTATGAAACTGTATATATTGCCTTTTTTCTTAGAATTTCTTAGTGCCATTTATGTTCATTCTTGAAAAGTTTGTTTTGTACTCTTAAGCAATAAGGATTAGGTTTGAAGCACTTTGTGTCTCGTAAATGTGGATAATTCTTTTGGTGGTAGTGTAGTAAATGACATAATTTATTGATGGTGGGATGTTTACGATGACTTCTTAGGTTTAAGATCTGTCATCTTAGTCTCCCAGCATGCGTCTAAAGATTAAAAAAAGAATATAAATAGATACCTATTGCAATAAGAAACATTAAAATTAGTGTACAGATACAGGCGATGGAGAAAAAGACACGCAAAAGAGGCTCTCATTTCCACGCCTTATCGTGCCAAGTTAGAACTCTACTCTCAAAGTAATAATGTTGTTTCGTAGCTAAAATATTTTGATAAAACTAGTAGATTAAGACAACTATGTCACTGGAGAGATGAAAAGAACCTTTTGGGCAATAATAGTTGGCTAAGACGGACTCAAGCAATTGGTGTCACATAAACAATTTTTCCTTTCTTTTAGAGGACTCAAATATTAACCATATAAATAAATAGCCACTTTGTTAGCTTATAATTTGACGGATCATAGTTGTTTTAGGTAGAGGCTGTATAAGTGAATCATACTTTGGGTTTAATGTTTTACTTAGATCTAGATTTGCTCGAAAATGTATATTATTTTCTAGACTGCTTGTGTGGTTGTCGAGTGCTTTTGTTTCCATACTAAGCTATAATATATTATTATTACAGTAATATTAATATTTTTTGGGCAAGAGAACAAATGCAAATGTTTTGGATATCTGATTTGAGAAATCTAAGGCCATGTTTGGTTTCTACAGTCGCTCCTAAAATTCATGTCACATCGAATGTTTAGACACATGCATGGAATATTAAATATAGACTAATTACGAAACTAATTACATAACTTGCGACTAATTTGCAAGATAAATCTTTTAAGCCTAATTAGTCCATGACTGGACAACGTGGTGCTACAGTAAACACATGCTAATGACAGATTAATTAGGCTTAAAAAATCGTCTCGCAAATTAGCCTCCATCTATATAATTGGTTTTATAATTAATCTATATTTAATGCTCTTTATTAATATTTAAACATTCGATGTGACATAAATTTTAGGAGCGACTAAAGAACCAAACACCCCCTAAGTTTTTAAGATTCAAAATTAGATTAGACAGCAGTATAATACTCCATCCATTCTAAATTGTAAGACGTTTGACTTCTTTGGCCTCAAGTTTGACCACTCGTCTTATTCAAAAAATTTATGCAAATATAGTTAAATTTAAGTTATTCTTGAAGAATTTTTATTAATAAACCAAACCACGACGAAAGAAGTGATATTTTACATAAATTTTTGAATAAGACGAGTGGTCAAATTTGATGTCAAAAAAGTCAAACGTCTTACCGTTTGGGATGGATTGAGTAGAATGGAATATTTTTTTATCACCTATCCAAATCTTCCGTATCTGGCTTCCACATCCTTGCACGAAACAAATGCAGGTAATGTGATGACAACAAATCTGCAAACATTCCTCCCTTCCACAGGAAAACTAAAGAAAAAGAGAAGAAAACCCACAAGCGTGCCAAGAAACCAAAGCGAAGAAGATAATAACGGGGTGGGACCCGCAGGGCCGCAGCAAGAGCCAAGAGGAGGAGGAGAGAGAGGCAGCAAGGCAAGGCAACGCGCCGTCATCTCCTCCTCCCTCGCACCGAGAAAGTCAGGTCAGAGACCTTCAAGTACTACAGTCATGGCCCGCATCTAGGAGGCAGCAAGAAGCGGGGCGGATGGGGCGCGCGTTCGTGTACGTGATCCTGGGCGGCGGCGTGGCCGCGGGCTACGCCGCGCTCGAGTTCGCCCGCCGCGGAGGGTACTCCCGCGGAGAGCTCTGCATCATCTCCGAAGAGACCGTACGCTCTGCTCCCTTTGTTTCCTTTTTCTTTTCCCCATTTCTTTGAGTCTGGGATTTCTTATAGTATTCCCGTCTCCCTTCCTGCTAAACCTTCCACTGATAGGACCAGTGCCGGAAATGCTTCGGGAGCTTGGATTCCTTGTTCAGTTTTTCTTTGAACTCTGATAGGATTACTATCTTCTTCAAATAGCATATATGTCTGGTGAAATAGAGACTGCGTTGGCAGGGGAAACAACCTTTGAACTGAACTGAAAAGGAGCAATTTGGGGAGCCATTGTTAATCTGCAGTTTTACAGTGAAATTTAATCGGTGAGGTACTAGTGCCAAAATCATCTGTACTCTCCAGGATGGACCATCACTTTTTCAGTCCGGTGGTCCGTGGTCTTGTGGCCTCACATCACTGATGAGTGATGAATATCAACCAACAGTGCCTGGATGATGTTCTTTTTAGACTATACTAAGGCTGACAAGTATGCAACCACTAAAAACAATGCTTTTTGTCTGCAGAAGGCATGTAATCCGAATTTTTAGGTGTGCATGCTATGTGATGAACTATTCCAACAGTACGAAAAAGGTGTTTTGGCATTTTCCATCCACCAATGTATCTTAGGCTCTACATAATCTTTTGACTACGACATACATGGTTTTTCTTTTTTCTTTTTTTCCTTGGTGGACAATATACAGTGTGCAGTTTTCTGTTTTTGCAAAATCGGATGTGGAAATTTTGGTCATCGAGAACATGTTCTTTTGCTTGCAAAATTTACTTCAGAATCAGAACTACTGTGTAGTTCTATGTTCTATGATTTTGTTATTCGACAAGTGCTTTGCTAGTTACAAATTTTTCTGTATTCTCGCCAGGTTGCTCCTTATGAACGGCCTGCACTAAGCAAAGGCTATTTACTCCCAGAAGGTAACATCTCTTCGTTTTGAAGAATTACAATGTTCTGTTAAATTTTCCGCAGCTAAAATAATGTTGGCTAAGGTTGCTCCATTTATTTGGAGGCAAATGTTGGTCCTTTTGATTTTTTTTAATGGTGTGGACATTGTTAATATCGCTGACTGTTATTGACCCCTGAGATACTTGCAGGTGCTGCTCGTCTTCCAGGATTTCATACTTGCGTTGGTGCTAATGATGAATTACTGACAACAAAATGGTACAAAGAACAAGGTAGTTTTCTTTAATGTTCTTTACTGGATTCTATGATTAATTTCATGTATTGCATATTGGCAAATGCTATGGATGATGGGATATTTAAAGAACATCTTATTGTTCATAATTGATGGAAATGATTCAGTGGAGCCATCCTTATGATCCCTTTAATCTATTGTATTTTTCTAACTTTTACTTTATTTTATTAGGCATTGAACTTGTTCTTGGAACAAAAGTGATTTCTGCTGATGTGAGGCGCAAGACATTGCTTACAGGCACTGGTGAAACTATCAGCTACAAAACTCTAATTATTGCGACAGGTGCTCAGGTATTGGATCTATTTGTACTTCTCTTTATTTTTTGCTCCAAATTCAATTCTTCATGAAACCTTTTTTTTCTTCATGAAACCTGCTATCCTTCATTGAGAAAAGATCTAGCACATGATGATCAGTTTATGTGTTTTTTATAAATTTCCTCTCTTTACATAACATAGGCTTTGAAGCTACAAGAATTTGGAATACAAGGTTCAGATGCTTCAAACATATGTTATTTGCGCAACATCGATGATGCGGATAAGTTGGTGAGTGCGATGAAATCATGTCCTGGCGGAAATGCTGTTGTCATTGGTGGTGGCTACATTGGAATGGAGTGTGCAGCGGCATTGGTTACTAACAAGATAAGGGTCACCATGGTCTTCCCTGAGAAACACTGCAGTAAGTAGTTGGCTAGTTTCTTTCATCACCTAAACAAAATTTCACCTATTTGTGTCAGGGCTTCCAACATGCTTTAATACCTCTCCTGCTGGTCTAATTATGAACTTGATTGGTTTCTGCAGTGGGTCGTCTATTTACACCAAAAATTGCAGAATTTTATGAAAACTACTACACCTCAAAAGGGGTCACCTTTGTTAAAGGAACTGTGCTTACATCCTTTGAAAAAGATACAACGGGGAAGGTGAGGTTTCATAATTCCATATCATGAAACTGGAACTGATTTGAGATATATAGTTCGCATTTTTACATTTATTACCAAGTAATAAACTATAGCCGTATAACCAAGAGGTCCTGGTCCAGAAACCTCTTTTTCAGCAGTTCCTTTCCAGTGGTTGCTAGAGGTTCCTGCTAGTGTATATGGATAACTATTCTTTTTGTTGTTTTGGGAACCATATGGATAACTTTTCAAGTCATACAATTTCATCCACCTAAAAGTTATTATAATAAAACAGAGGAAGAATTTACTATTTTCATTGATTGCTAGCAATAAACGGTTTCTGCTTTTTCAAGAGATTTTCTCAAAATTTGTTATTAATTTGGTCTTAATCTCGTCTCTTGGATTCACCTGGACTCAGCCCGTATGTAATGGGGATAAACTATCTAGTTTTTGACACCATGCTATTCCTTGCTTAAATTGTGACAACACTGGAATATAAATGGCTTGTTTCTCAAATTGTATGATGTGGCAACAATGATAGCGATGAGCTTACCTGGATTCATCAATCAGTGCTGGATCCAGGATTTGAATCCAGGGTATGTCTAGTCTAGCAAAAATACCTCGCATTTAATATGGTATATAATCCAGTACATAATTTGAACCCAGCGAGGGCTGAGCGCAAGCAACGAGCATCAGCTGAGCAGACAGATGATCTGGAGACAGAAGTACTTAACAATGTTGAACTTTTTTAATTTAGACCTTCAAAATCTAACTAGTACTAATAATTTGGCTCAAAATCTAGGGTAATCCTGGGCCTATATGGCCTAAGGTTGGGTCCACCCCTGTCATCAATTCCTGTAAATCTTTTTCTTACTGTATCAAGCATATTTAGTCAATGAATGGTGAATGCCAACCATATTAGCTCTCCTTTTTTAAAGCCTAGTACTCACAATCTGGCCAATTAGAATCCTCAAGCAGTGTCAGAAACTCAAGCCAGCGCCTTCATTGTTGACATTGATAGTTAAATTAATAATTGGAAACAGTTCAATTTTCTCCCTCTGTCCTAAAATGTTGTTTGGATACCCCCTAAACTAATTTTGTGTTCAATTTCCCCCCAAAGATACTTCAGTTGGTCCAATCTACCCCTTGATAAAATTTGTTTTTTTTTTGTTTCTCCACATTCAAGTTGAGTATTAAGTTCAAATTTTATGGGGCAATAGGTGACATCATAACTTATGTTAGAAAAATAAGTATGAAAATTTATCATTATTTTTTATATAAATTTTGTATATGTAGGGCTAATTTATTATTAGATGCCCAACCTATCAAAAATAATTATGAAAATTTTGTGATGTATTTTCTAACATAAGTTATGATGTCACCTATCACCCCAAGAAATTTGAACTTAAAACTCGTATGTGGAAAAAAAAAAGAAAAAATCTTGTTAAGGGGTAGATTACTAGATTGGACCTTTTTTTCCTTAAAAAAACTGGACTTTTTCCATCATAATATTTCCATGTATGCACAGGTGACTGCAGTAATCCTCAAAGATGGTAGACACCTTCCTGCTGATATGGTAGTAGTTGGTATTGGCATCCGTGCAAACACTAGTCTTTTTGAAGGTCAGCTGATGATGTCAATGGAGAATGGTGGGATAAAGGTAAATGGACAGTTGCAGACAAATGATAACTCTGTATATGCTGTTGGCGATGTGGCTGCTTTCCCGATCAAGCTTTTTGATGGTGATATCCGACGGCTTGAACATGTGGATTCAGCTCGTAGAACTGCTAGACATGCTGTTGCCTCCATCTTGGAGCCTTCGAAAACCAGGGACATTGATTACCTGCCATTCTTCTACTCCAGAGTGTTCACATTGTCGTGGCAATTCTACGGGGATAATGTTGGGGAAGTGGTCCACTTCGGAGACTTCACAAGCAGCAGCCCAAGGTTTGGTGCATATTGGGTCAACAAAGGCAGAATTGCAGGTGCATTTCTTGAAGGCGGAAGTCGGGAGGAGTACGAGGCCATATCGATTGCTGTCCGGCGGAAAGCTATGGTCACAAACATGGGTGAACTTGAGAAACAAGGCCTGGCACTTGCCATCCAGGAGAGCCAGAAGGAGGTGCCTGACAGTGGGCTTGCCGTTGTTGGAAAACCTACTTACACGTGGCATGCCACAGCCGGTGTCGTAGCAGCAGTGTCAATCGCTGCAATTGGTTATTGGTATGGCAGGAAGCGCCGTAGGTTTTGAGGATTTGGGGTGATTCCCTTAAGTCTGCTGTGCCGACCTGCTAGTGGAATGTCTGGGATGAGTTCTATTGGCTGTTAATTGAAGCAAAGTTGTATACCACAGGTATGAAAGTATAGTCTGTGGCAAATGTATACAGAAACACAGGTATACAGAAACACAGATGCCTTCATGTATTATCTAGTGAAACCAAAGGCTGCTTCTAACTCTCAGGGGCCCTCTTGTTGTAAAATCGCAACTCTTTCCTGAATGAGATCCATAATTTTGTGGCATTGCTGGTCATTGTTGTCAACTATCTCTGTTTTTGAAAAGCTTTTATAAGTCCATGTAATCAGCGAAGAAGTGAACTGTTAATGGCAATGTGTATATGTCCAAGCCTATGTAATCAGCAAAAGCAGATGTTTTTGTCCAAGCTCGGATGCTTGTGTACTTTCCATTTCCATTGCATTGTCGACACTCTGAAAATGGCATCCATCTGTGGCAGCAAAGAAGCCAAGAACAAAAGCATCAAGATTGTGAACCTTAACTTGAGAAGAATCGCAATATATTTCCTTGACGGGAGGGAAAGAATGGCGCCAATCATGACCCGCAAGAGGGGAGGGTTTCCCGCCATGCCGGCCCCGCGTTTGCTCTCCTAGTAAAGCCGTGCGGCGATCACGGCTACCTAAGCTCATGATCTCATCCATGGAGGACGGCAGATGACGAGACGCCCGAGAGGAGAGAGAGAGAGAGAAGGGGGCCGCGGGCTCAAATAGTTGATACTGGGGGGGGGGGGGGGTCGGCTACACCGCGCCCGGCGAGCTGTTCAAGCATGCAAACTGACTCTGTTTCTGCGATTTTAATCTGTTGACTTGGGGTCGTCAGTCATGGTACTATAAATTATAATGCTACAATCAGTATGGTACTATAATATTACATACAACTTAGATTCTTGAATCTTGATACTAGCCGCGCAATTTTGCCAGCCCAATCCGCTGGTCCTTTCTTAGAATGGCATCGAACTGTGTCAGCAAAGAAGCGAAGAAGAGAAGGATCAAGATTGTCTTCACCAAGAAGAATACCAATATTTCCCTTGTCGGCGAGGGAAAGAACGGCACCGATCTGGTCCCGCATAACGGCAGAAGGGGGGAGGCGGGCAAGGCATTGTTTCCTGTCCATGCCGGCCCATCTCTCTCTTCCTCGGAAGCCAAGAACCGCGCCGGCGGGGCCCAATCAGGCCTGCTGTCACCATCGCGGTTCAGCTAGGCGGCTACTTAAGGTCACCCACCCATGGAGGAAGACTGGAACAGGAAGAGAGAGTTGGAAACGGCGCGAAGGAACCAGATGGGCCGCGCGTTCGCTTACGTGATACTAGGCGGCGGCGTGGCCGCGGGCTATGAGGCGCTCGAGTTCATCCGCCTCCGCAGTGACGGTGCCGCCGGCGAGCTCTGCATCATCTCGGACGAGGCCATATGCTTGCCTTCCACGCTCTGCCATTTTCTGTTCAATTAAGCATGCAAAGCTCTGCACAAAGAAACGCTATTTCTTGCACTGCGATTGCCAACCAACCATTTTATTCTCCCACCACTTTGGCAGGTTGCTCCTTATGAACGTCCTGCGCTAAGCAAAGGCTATTTGTTCCCAGAAGGTGCGTACGATTTCAATCTCAGATCAAGGAGAGTTTGCTCTGAAGTCTAAACACGTATGAATAACCGATACGGCCGCCGATACAGATAGCAGTGTTGCTGCTGACAGCGCTTGCTGATCGTGCATCGTTCTACTAAGAGCTGCGCTAGCATGTCATGCTGTCCACATATAAGCAATATGCTCAAATGATTTGGATTTTGGAGATCTTGAAATATTATTTACACTAGAACTTTGGATTTTGTCACATTTGCAGGTGGTGCTCGCCTCCCAGCATTTCATACTTGTGCTGGTGCCAACGACCAGTTACTTACAGAAGATTGGTACAAAGAACACGGTATGCTCCGGTTAATGTTTAGTGTGCTATGTGTTATTTATGCTATACACATTGGCAATCCCTATGTTTGGTTAGATCTCAACAGGAAGTGACAAGAGTCAGTGTTACTGTCTATTCTTTAATTTGTGACATGAGGAAAAAACAGACTTGCTGATCCTCATCTGTACTTTGATCCTGCAATCAAGTCAAATTTTTTATATATCTAGTTCCTGTTTCAGCATTATGGATGATATGCATTACCATATGGCTAGGTATTGAGCTTATTCTTGGAACGAAGGTAATTTCTGTTGATGTGCGCCGGAAAACATTGGATACTTCAACCGGGGAAACTATCAGCTATGCAACTCTTATTGTTGCAACGGGTGCTCGGGTATGTTCATATATATATTCTATTTGTGGTTATCTACGCTTGTCCGTGCTATTTTTTAACTAGTATGTGCATTTTTTTTGCGGAACAGTATGTGCAATTTTTTAACGGATGCTAGAGCATGTTGTTTTGTCTTATAAAATTGTAGGCCTTGAAGCTGGAAGAAATTGGAGTGAACGGCTCAGATGCTGAGAACGTCTGTTATCTGCGCAATATTGAGGATGCAGATAAATTAGTCCGTGTAATGAGATCATGTCCTGGTGGCGATGCCGTTGTCATTGGTGTTGGATACATAGGAATGGAATGTGCAGCCGCTTTGGTTGCCAACAACATAAAAGTTACTATCGTCTTCCCTGGAAAATATTGCAGTACGTAACTGATGCTACTGTTTGGTGAACATCCTGAAGTTTCAATACTAGGACACCTGGATGCACTTTAGTTTGACAAATACCAACATGTATGCTGTGACTTTTCCTTTGCAGTGGAAAATCTGTTTACACAAAAAATCGCTGAATTTTACGAGAACTACTACGCTTCAGAAGGAGTCACTTTTATCAAAGGAACTGTAGTTTCATCTTTGGAGATCTCATCTGGGAAGGTGAGTTTCTGTTCATCCATTCCATGAAACTTTATAGTAGGTAATCGGGAGATCAACTACATTCAGATTGCTAATAGAATGTACGCTCTATACCTACTAGCAGTTTTTCACTGGCAATCTGAAGTTCTGAACAGCTGATATCTGCCAATCAATATCACCCACCATCAACTCTGCTTATGATCATCTGATAATTTTCAGCAATACGGAAACTTAAGATGTGTTGTGACGCCAATACGGCTATGTTATTTTGTGTGTGCATGCACAGGTGACGACAGCAATCCTGCGAGACGGCAGGCGCCTACCTGCTGACATGGTCGTGGTCGGCATCGGCGCGCGCGCAAACACAGCCCTGTTCCAAGGCCAGCTGGCCATGGAGAAGGGCGGCATCAAGGTGAACGGGCAGATGCGGACGAGCGACGCCTCCGTGTACGCCGTCGGCGATGTGGCCGCGTTCCCCGTCAAGCTCTTGGGCGGCGAAGTCCGCCGGCTGGAGCACGTGGACTGCGCGCGCAGGACCGCGAGGCACGCCGTCGCGGCGGCTCTGGACCCCTCGGGCGCCACCGGGGACATCGACTACCTGCCCTTCTTCTACTCCAGGGTCTTTGCGCTGTCCTGGAAGTTCTATGGCGACAACGCCGGGAAGGCCGTACACTTGGGGGACTTGGACTTCTCCGCTTCGTCTTCGTCCAAGCCCAAGTTCGGCGCGCTCTGGGTCAGCGCGGGCCGCATCGCCGGCGCGTTCCTGGAAGGTGGGAGCCCTGAGGAGTACGAGGCGATCGCGCACGCCGTGCGGCGCGGGACGGCCGTCCCGGACGTGGCCGTGCTCGCGCGGCAGGGCCTCGCGTTCATTGTTCAGGAGGGCCGACTCACGTGATCACACACTTTTCTTGTTTCCCCCACCACTCCTCATCCAATCTAGTTCACCAAACCATTAGAGCGTGACTTGATGTGCAGACTCCGATTTTTCTCTACCTTGAAGGATTTGCAAACCCATCGCGGAGTGCAATAGCTCTGGCGACCTCTACCGTTTTCTCACCGACCACCAACCGTCCGCATTCCTCGCTGCACCCACTTAGCTATGGCACCGTCGTCTCCGGACATCTTGGGTGTGATGCTTTGTCGGAGCTGCGCGGTGGCGTTCGGGTGGGCTTTGTGGCTGCGGCAACGCGCCTACCTACGCGTGGCACGCCACGGTCAGCGTGGCCGCAGCCGTGTCCATCGTGGCGTTCGCGTACTGGTATGGCTGGAAGGCGCCGTACGTGGCCAAGCGCGACTTCTGAAGAAGGCAGCAGCCTGCTTCGTGGACCAATAACACAACAACTGTACATCAATCAATCGATTAAGGGCCTTTTGGCATAACTTATGCTAGAGCTTCACGACGACTTCATCTATTTTATGCGAATCGGTAAATCGGCGACCTGAATGGCGTTCCACTAAGCCGTTTTTAAGTTCGGGTTAAAATGAACTAGAAGCCGGGAAAAACCAGTTTTTCTGGCTTCACCGGTGAAGCCGTTTTGGATGAGCCGTGCCAAAGAGGGCTTAAATCTATTATCATCACATTTAGATGTATAAAAGTTATAAGATTAATTCGAAAAATAAAAATAACATACACGGAGCATCTCCAAAAGTTCCAAAATCCGCCCTCAATCTGATTTTTTTTTATAAGATTGAAAACACAGCTCTCCAACAAGTCACTATCTTCCTAAAAAAATTAATAAATCAAATATTTTTTTCGAGGGCTAAAAACAATTGGGAGCATATTTATTAGGTTCATAAATATTTTTTTAAAATAACTCTCCTAAAATATAGAAAACAATTTTGCATCAAGAATCGAGAACTATATACAAGTCACCCTAGCCACTTTTATAATTTTTTCTTGTATATTTGTATTGGGAACCTATCCTACTTATTATTTCCCACGTCCTTCTACATCGAGATTGGTCGATGGATACGCGCATAAGTGCATATTTTCTCAAGTGCGAAAAGATTGAGAGCTTAGATTTTATAATGGTCTAATGGCCTAGATTAAACAAAGAGTTCATGCCTAATGGAAAACCAAAAAAATATGTGTTGGTTTTTATGATGATATAACAGTTTAGATTAAATCAAATTGTCTGGGCCTAATACAATTACAAGATTAATAAAAATATGAAAAAAGATCTCGATCTTAGATTAAGACCTTGTTTGGCTAGTATGATTGGTTCTGATTCTAGTTGCAAATCAAAGAAACATTGCAAACGCATTAACCCTTAATCGATTCTCCCTCAGAATGTTTCAAATCATCCTTTTTTGCCTGGTCAAGCGAAACGAATCTAGGTCGCTTTCGCTAGATTTTGTTTCTAGTTTTTCCTATACACTAGCAACAATACTTTTTGTACTTATCATTTTTAAGTGCAACAAGTTAAAATGGGTTGTATTTAAATTATTCTTCACACACGAAAAGTTCTATTTTTAAATATATTTCCATTTAAAAGATTTCTATGTAAAACATTTTTTAAAATCAGGATCTAGCCTGCTAGCCAAATAATGTCCCATAAAATTGATTCCAATTCGTCACCTGAAACGCTTCTTGAGAGAATCTGAATCTAAAACGTTCCTATGAAAATCTAGATACCTACCAGATGAAATATAAATCAAAATGTTAAATCCCAATACAAATATACACTATAAGATTGATGGGAAAATAAAAAATAACCTACATGGTTCGATATTATGATAATCTAATGGCTTAAATTGACCAAAGAGTTCATGTTCATGCCAATTACAGTTCATAGATAATGAATTCAAAAGATAAATTAAGAAAATATTAACAATTTGATTTCCACACGAATTTGAAATAAATATTACTAAATACGGATTCCATGTAACACACAATTTCTAGAGGCAAACAATTAATAGGAAAAATTAATAGTCCAAATGAATGTAAAGAACAAAAATACCAACAAAGCTATTTTTAGATTTGAAAAAACCATTTGCAAGAAAAAAAAACCAACACAATTTAACCCAGCAAAGAAATAACCATTTGCACTATAAGATTGATGGGAAAATAAAAAATAACCTACATGGTTCGATATTATGATAATCTAATGGCTTAAATTGACCAAAGAGAGTTCAAAAATATTAACAATTTGTTATTTTGTAAATATAAAGAATCAAAATATTACAATATAAAAAGCTAGCTACTCAAACATAGTATATATATATATATATATATATATATATATATATATATATATATATATATATATATATATATATATATATATATTCGTTTTACGTGGACCACCATTGTTAGTTTACAAACAAACTGATGTCAATAACACTATCTCTCACGGTCTCGTAAACCTTCTTTCGGATCATATCACTGTACAACTGCCTCTTTTTAAGTACAGCTACGTAAGAGACTGAAAGGTCCGCCATGTCAAGAATTCGAGGAAAATGACTGAATCATCAATGTCTCAATTGTATGGGCTTATGGGCAGGGGAGCCGGCGCTACAGTTGGATCGGTTAGTTGCACCAATCCAAGCTACCGCGCGCATGTGTGCATTCCGGTAGATCACTGAACCCGCCTCCCCATTTCAACTTGTCCCCACTCCACTCTCTTGCTGCCACTGGGCCCCGCGCCACCCAAACCCCACCCTCCCGCCGGCTCGCGCGCGTCCCGTCGCCATCGCCGGTCGTTGCACTTGCGCAGCCCATGCGGGCATGCCTACACACGCCGACCCTGGTCCAGTACAGTGCGCCTCCCTATTAATACGGGTCCAGTTCGAAGGCTTGACCAACAGCGAGCTGCCACGCACCGACCATCACGCAGCGGCGAGGAAGCAAAGCTAGGCAGTAGGCACCGGCAAGGCCGATCGATCGAGCTCCACTGCTCCAGGCTCCAGCAAGATGGTGAACTTCATCGAGACGCAGAAGCCGCTGCTGTCACGGCTGATGAAGATGGCCGGGCTCCGCCCCATCGAGGTGGAGCTGGAGCCGGGCACGACCATGCACGTCTGGGCGCCCAAGCACCACGTCGGCAAGAAGGGCACCACCATCAGCCCGCTCGAGCCTACCGCCGCCGATGCCAAGAAGAAGAAGAAGAAGAAGGGCCCCGAGTCGAGGCCCAACGTGGTGCTCATCCACGGTTTCGCCGCCGAGGGCAACGTCACGTGGCAGTTCAACTTCGGCGTGCTGGTGTCGCGCTACAACCTGTACATCCCGGACCTGATGTTCTTCGGCAAGTCCACGACGGCGAGCGCGGACCGGTCCCCGGACTTCCAGGCGGAGTGCGTGGCCGGGGCGCTGGCGCAGCTGGGCGTGGCGCGGTGCGACGTCGTCGGGTTCAGCTACGGGGGCATGGTGGCGTTCAAGCTGGCCGAGGCGCGGCCGGAGCTGGTGCGGTCGCTGTGCGTGTCCGGGTCCGTGGTGGCCATGACGGACACCGTGAACAGGGAGACCATGGAGCGGCTCGGGGCCGGGTCGTCGGCCGAGCTGCTGATGCCCGACACGCTCAAGGGGCTCAAGGCGCTTCTCTCCGTCTCCATGTACAAGAAGATGTGGTTCCCCGACAGGTTCTACAAGGACTACCTCAAGGTGATTTAAATTTAGCCGTTTGTTGTGTTGTTACACTAGTAGCACACTGTTTTATTTCTATATGGATCAAGAATAAGTAAAAGTAAAAAAAATACAGTTGTGTACCTTCTTCAGATGGTATAAACTTGAACCTTGTTCCATTATCTAAATATATTGTAATAATGACACTGACTAGAGGTCACCCCACACCACACCCACCACCCCCACACACACACACAATCTACCAACATAGAGTTGGCGTGATTTTTTCCCTTAATATAGTAACATTGCTTTGATTATTCTCTTCATTCAGTGATTGTTGGGGGTTTGATTGTGGTAATGTTTATGCTTATGTTTGGTGGCGAGCAGGTGATGTTCACCAACAGGAAGGAGAGGATGGAGCTGCTGCAGGGGCTGATAACTAGCAACATGGACGCCAAGATCCCCGTATTCCAACAGGTACCGCCTTGATTTCATACAAAATCATACAAACCCACATCTAATTGATTTGTTCACCAACTTAGAAAAGTAGATCAGATGCATGGCGGAATATATATACAGGAGCTCAACTCCATGTCACTCAGCTGACAGCTTAGAGCTAAGTTAGCTGACTGACGAAAGTGACCGGCAGAGTGCAGATACATCCAAAGAGCTCTGTGTCCCGGGCCGTTCGGATACTTGTTTTTTTGGTGAAGGATCCGACCAACACCAACTACCGATATTGATCCAAGGAATTCCTTGATCCAATGGCCAAGATCCACTAGATTTGAGGGCCCATACGGCCATACTCTTACGAAATGGTCAAAGCCCTGACGAAATCTATGAGCTGGTTGGGCCTGACCTAGTCCAGACACGGTCACCTGAGCTTTTGGAGAAATAAATAAAGCCCATTTGAATCGCATACCAAAAGTGAAACGAATTCTCACCGTGGTTGCAGAAAATAATGCTGCTCTGGGGCGAGGAGGACAAGATCTTCAACATCGAGCTCGCCAAGAAGATGAAAGAGTAAGCATTCTTTTCTTTTTTTTTGGATAGGAAGAGTAAGCATTCTTCCCCGCTTTGTCTTTGCTGCTGCCAATCCGAATTGCCTAATTCTACCATATATTCCTGGCGCTAACCACGAGCGATCCAACGACATCGCAGGCAGCTGGGCGACAACTGCTTCCTGTACGGCATCCGCAAGGCCGGCCACCTGCTCCACGTCGAGCGCCCGTGCGCCTACAACCGCCAGCTCCAGAGGTGGTTCGCCTACGTCAACTCCACGGCTGGCGTGTAGAAGAACAGGTCTATGATCCTAGTCTTCCGGGTCTTCCTAG